TAGGGGATTTCAACACCCCACTGTCAAAAATGGACAGATGTTCCAAACAAAACATTAATAAACATGTTGTGGCACTGAATGACACACTGAATCAAATAGACTTAACTGATATATAGAACCTTACATCCCAAAGAAGAAAAATACACATTCTTTTCAAATGTTCATGGAAGTTTTTCAAAGATAGACCACATGATAGGACACAAAGTAAGCCTCAGCAAATTCAGGAAAATTGAAATAATACAAAACTTTTCCTCAGACCACAAGGGCTAGAAACTGGAAATCAACCTCAAAGAGAAACCTGAAAAACTTGCAAACTCATAGAGACTGAAGAGTAGACTATTGAACAATGAATGGGTCAATAATGAGATAAGAGAAGAAATAAAAAAATTTCTGGAAACAAATGAAAATGAACAGAAAATAGTCCAAAACCTAGGGGACACAGCAAAGGCAGTCCTGAGAGGGAAGTTCATAGCAATACAGGCTTACCTAAAAAAGATAGAAACATTTCAAATAAAAGACCTAACACTACAACTTGAAGAACTGGAGAAACAACAACACATAAATCCCAGGGCAAGTAGAAGGAAGGAAATAGTCAAGATGAGAGCAGAACTGAATGACATAGAGAGGAAAAGAACAATTCAGAGGATCAACCAATCCAGAAGCTGGTTCTTTGAAAAGATAAATAAAATTGACAAGCCTTTAAGCAAACTCATCAAGAAAAAAGGGAGAGGACCCAAATTAATAATATCAGAAATGAAAGAGGAGAAATAACAACTGATACTACAGAAATACAAAGGATTGTCAGAAACTACTATGAACAATTATATGCCAAGAAATTTGAAAACCTTGATGGAATGGACAAATTTCTAGAAAAGTATAATCTTCCAACACTGAAGGAGGAAGAACCAGAAAGCTTGAACAGACTGGTAATGTCTGGGGAAATTGAGGCAGTAATCAAGAAACTCCCGGCACACAAAAGCCCAGGGCCGGACGGTTTCACAGGAGAATTTTACAAAACATTTAAGGAAGAGCTAACTCCTGTACTTCTCAGACTATTCCAAAAAATCCAAGAGGAGGGAAGACTCCCAGACTCTTTCTATGAGGGCAGCATCACCCTAATCCCAAAACCAGATGAAGACCCTACAAAGAAAGAAAACTACAGGCTGATTTTGCTGATGAACATAAATGCTAAAATCCTCAAGAGAATATTGGCAAACCGCATCCAGCAATACATTCGAACGATTATCCACCACGATCAAGTGGCATTCATCCCAGGGATGCAAGAATGATTCAGTATTCACTAATCAATAAACATAATACATCACATAAACAAAAGAAAAGACAAAAACCACATGATCATATCAATACATGCAGGAAAAGCATTTGAGAAGGTACAGCACCCATTTATGATAAAAGCACTCAGCCAAGTGGCAATAAAGGGGGCATACCTCAACATAATAAAGGACATACATGAAAAACCTACAGCCAGCGTCTTAAGCAATGGGCAAAAACTGAAGGCTCATAAGATCACAAATGAGACAAGGATATCCGGTTTCACTACTTCTATTCAACATAATATTGGAAGTCATATCGTCAGCAATCAGACAAGAAAAAGAAATAAAAGGCATGCAAATTAAAAAGGAAGAAGTAAAACTTTCTATGTTTGCAGATGATACGATAGCATACATAGAAAATCCCATGGACTCCACCAAAAAAATACTCAACCTAATAAGTGAATTTGGCCAAAGAGCAGGACATAAAGTCAATATTCAGAAACAGAAGGCATTTTTGTACACCAACAATGAAATATCAGCACCAGAAATCAGGAAAAAAATCCCATTGGCTATAGCAACAAGAAAAATAAAGTATCTATGAAGAAACCTAACCACAGAGGTAAAAGACCTAAACTCAGAAAACTACACAACACTGAAGAAAGAAATTAAGGAAGACAAAAATGGAAGCACATACTGTGTTTATGGATTGGAATAATTAACATCATCAAAATGTCCATACTACCCAAAGCAGTTTATAGATTCAACGCAATCCCTATTAAAATACCAATGACGTATTTCACAGATAGAGAACAAATATGTCAAAAATTTATGTAGAACCACAAATGACCCCGAATAGCTGCAGCAATTTTGAGGAAGAGCAAACTAGGAAGGACCACAACACCTGACATGAAACTATATTAAAAGGGCACTGTAATCAAAACAGTCTGGTACTGGCATAAGAACAGACACATAGATTAATGGAACAAAATACAGATTCCAGAAATAAACCTATGTTTCTATGGTCAATTAATATTTGACAAAGTGTGCAGAAGTATAAAGTGGAGTAAAAATAGCCTCTTCAAGAAATGGTGTTGGGAGAGCTGGACAGTTATATGCAAAAATTGAAATTTAACCACCAACTAACACCATACACAAAAATAAACTCAAGATGGATAAAAGACTTAAATATAAGTCATGACACCATAAAAATCCTAGAGGAGAACATAGGCCGGAAACTCTCAGATATCCCACACAGCAATATTTTCACTGATATGTCTCCTAAAGCAAGGGACATAAAGGAAAGAATAAACAAGTGGGACCTCATCAAAATAAGAAGCTTCTGCATGGCTGTGGAATACATCAGCAAAATGAAAAGCGATCCAATCGTATGGGAAAATATATTTGCCAATGATACCTCAGACAGGGAATTGATCTCCAAAACATATAAAGAACTCACTTGATTCCACTCCAGGAAGACAAATAATTCAATTAAAAATAGGCATATGACTTGACTGGACACTTTTCCAAGGAGGACATACAGAGGGCCCAGAGATAAATGAAAGGATGCTCATCATCACTATCTGTCAGAGAAATGCTAATTAAAACCACAATGAGATACTACTTCACATCAGTCAGAGTGGCCATCATAAACAGATCAACAGACAACAGGTGCTGGCGAGGTTGTGGAGAAAAGGGAACCCTAGTCCACTGTTGGTGGGAATGCACACTGGTGCAGCCACTGTGGAAAGCAGTTTGGAGTTTCCTCAAAAAGCTAAAAATGGATCTACATTTTGATCCAGTCATTCTACTGATGGGATTATACCCTAAGAACCCCAAAACAGCAATTCAAAAGAACCTCTGCACCCATGTGTTCATAGCAGCATAATTTACAATAGCCAAGTGCTGGAAGCAACCTAAGTACCCATCAGTAAATGAGTAGATCAGAAAACTATTATACATTTACACAATTGAATACTATACAGCAGAAATAAAGAGCTCCTATCCTTCACGACAGCATGGATAGAAGTAGAGAGCATTATGCTGAGTGAAATAAGCCAGGGGGTGAAAGACAAATATCACATGATCTCACATATAAGTGGAACCTAATCAACAAAACAAACGAACAAGGAAAACATAACCAGCAACATTGAAAAAAAAAGGAAACCAACAGGAATGAGAGGGAAGGAGGGAGGGGTTAATGAGGAAAGGAAGGGGAAGGGTCAAATCAAGGGACAAGTATGAAGGACACATGGACAAAGCCAAAGTAGGTAAAGATCGAGGGAGGGAGGTGGGGGTAGGTGGGGCAGGAGAAAGTGGTGGCAGGTAAATGGAGACAACTGTATTTGAATAAAAAATAAAAAAAATAAAAAAGGAAATGAGATCATTTAATTTCAACATAAGAATGAGATCTGACTTTATACGCAAGAAGAATTATCATAGAAAGATACACAACTTTGTTCTGTCACTAGATAGGAAAGAGAAACAAAAAATGAACTCAAGCTTTAGCATGTAAGAATTAGATTAGACACAAGGAGGAATTATTTAACTCAGCAACTAATTAAACTGAGATGTATTCTTAGAAGGAGATGAGACTGTCCATCAAGTTTAATTACCATTTCTTTAAAATGGTTTAAGTATGGTTATGTCTAAAGGAAAGAAAATCTCTTATGGCCATTTCTGTTTATAGGATTATTGGAAACTTTGGGCTATTGGCAATCAGGAGTAAACTCTTTTTAAAATATTTAATCTTTTTCAGTTACAAAAAATCATCTCCAGTTAAAAAAAGAATTATTACTTGATTATCTTAATCATCAAAAAAAATTTTGAAATAGCATACTCTATAATTTTAAAGGTAGAACATACTAATAAAATGTCATATAATGTTGAAGATAGAAGATAACTTAGAAATAACTTAATGCCTCTTATTTGTTTTATATGATATGAAAGTCCAAGGGTTTTATGTGTTTGGTTCACAATCAAGATTTAGTTATAAACAGAGTTATCCCTATAACCTCACATTCCCACAGGCTAGCTGAGTAGTAATTCTACTAAACAAAGTTGCCTCTAGTACTTCACATTCAATTTTAAATACAATGTCATCTTAATAAAGATTGTAAAGAAAAAAAAAATGATAGAATCACAGTAATTTGGGGACAACTAGCAATTATCAAAGGTATTTTGAGTGTGAACGTATCTTCACTGAGTAGAAATTTTCCTGCGTTCTGCAGAATTTTAGCATACTCATCCCTGCCCACTTAAAGTGCTGCAGCACTTCCAAGTCATGACAACCAAAAATGCCATCGCATTTCCAAATGACCTATAAACAGAGAGAACTCTATAGAGAACTAGATCTATAGACCTGCTTGGTCAGAACCCAAGAATCACTTTTAGTGACAGTTACTTGAATTATGTATTAAAAAAAACCTTAAGAACACTCAGTCTTTTTAGGGGTACAGTCACAAACTCTAAACTGACAGCAACTGTCACATACTCACTCTTAGCTTGGGGGGCTTGATTTTATTAAGCTATCTGCATTTCTTATATACTCTAAGAATATCAGCAACAAACTTAATCCTGCAATACATCTAAATCTACCTAATGGCAGTGGTCCTGAAGTTAATTTGAACATATTAACTAAAACAACCATTTAGCTTGCCCAAAAGCTGTTGTTTACACCAATTAAAAAAGAGTGTTAATGTGTGTATGGGTTTATTTAAAAATACTTACAAGATCCAGTGCTGAACCTCCACCTAGGTATTCCATTATTATCCATAATTTTGAACCCTGTAAAAGCCGTGAAAGAATTTATAATTACAAACATGAGCCAAATAACATAACTAGTATAAATATTAAATCTGATATACTAATGTATTGGTTTCAAAATACAGGTTTAAAATTAGGTGTTTGGAACCCTGAACATATTTTTTCCATAAAACATTACAAATGAAAGTAAAGTTCTGCTACTTGATCCTCCTCCAAATTTGTTTAGCTTATGATATAGCTAAATAGCTAATTATAATTTCCTATTTTAGAAGTATTAGTAATTTTTATAAAACCCAGAAAAAATAAATGATAGCTTTAAATCATTATTTTGAATAATAACACTAAGAGAAAAGGAAAGGCACATTAAAGAATGAGCAAGTAAATGAAAACTTGCAGAAATTTTGAATGAGGCTTCTGGGTGTTTTCATGTGATTTTTAGAGTTTGGGAACCCTGGAATATTCTGCCTTCTTTTAGTTTTTGACTTCGTTTTAATGTACTTTACAACTTTATTCAGCCACAATTAATGGATATTTTTGGAACACACATGGAACCTAGAAATAATGCTGTCCCCTACCTATCTTCACTGTAAATTGTACAAGAGTAAGTGGGCCATATAGGGGGAGTACCTGTATGTGAATTCCAAAAGTTTTGTATATATACATACACACATATCATTCAGCTCTATAAGATAAAAATTGGAATAAACCATTATATCTTTTTTCTTTCTTCTTTCAACAATAGCTTGAAATACTAGGGACACCTCTCTCTCCATACCATTTCATGACTGGTATTCTCTGAGTTTTTGTGGGACTACAGAGTTAACTCGAAGAGATATGGTTGGTTTTACTATATTGGCAAGTAGCAAGTTGTGAATGGATTGTGTTTCAAAAGTTTATTTTTAAGTAAGATATTTAGAATTTAGAAAGCAAGTATTTTCCCATAAAAATAATGTCTAGTTTCCTGGGCTAGTACCCCAAATGACAATTTAATGCATAGTTATTCATAGTACAGCAGGAAGAGTAACACAGTAACTAATTACTATTTATACCATAAAAATGTTTCTAGGGGACAAATAAGTTCATAGTTGCGCTTCAACTTGGGATTCCAGGGACACCTTTCTCACCTTTACAGCCCCAGATGTGGGATGAAGAGTCTCAAGCTATTGTCAGTTGCCCTCAAATTCTAAAATCCCTGAGAAGTACTCAGGAGTTTCATTCAAAATGTCCAAGTGTCTTCTTGAGCCTGGGGTTTTATCATGGCAGAGGATGGAATCCAGTTACATGGTGATGAATGTGTAGGTGACATTGTAGTGCGTGGAATGGAATGTGGCCTAGGGTCAGGGACCAGGGAGGGAAGAATCAGTTAATCTGAGATGAAAGGATTCTTCCTTTCTTTCTTGATGCTGACATTGCATAAGATGTATAAAAGAAAGAGAGGAAAAATCTGCATCCCCCAATCTTGACATCCACTCTTTCCTGTGACAAAAAGGCCAGCTTGGAAAGAAAGAGCTGAGAGTCTTTCCTAGCAGCAGTATCTATAGAAGGAAAGTAAGGAAATAATTTCCCATCATGGTGGGAAGGGGAGAGGAGTTCTGCAATTGGGTCATGTAACTCATTTCTTATGTTTAGCAATTAGGTACTCTGACCCTTAGAATTATAAACCTGATGTGTATTTATATTCCTTTCTGGAGAAAAAAATACTTCTCACAATGCTATATAGCCTGAGAATGTTTTTCTTTTGCACAAGCTTGATTTTAATAAGTACTATATATGTTTTAACATTTTAATTAGCCCTGACTGGTGTGGCTCAGTCAGTTAGGCATTGTCCCGCAAAGTGAGAGGTCACCAATTATTCAATTTCTGTTCAGGGCACATGCCTGGGTTGTGGGTTTGATCCCCAGTGGGGGTACGTAGGAAAGGTAGCTAATCAACAGGGAGAGAAACATTGATTGGCTGCCTTCCATATGTGCCTCAATTGGGGTTGAACCCACAGACCAGGTATGTTCCCTGACTGGGAATCGAACTGGTGATCTTTTGCTTTGCGGGACAATGCCCAATATACTGAGCCACACTGCTCAGGGCAGTACTATAGTCTACCTTATGAATTAAAGATGCTTTCCATTCACCTGAAATTTAAAAGAAAAATAAAAGTATCTTATATAACATGTTTATCTGTTTTTGCAGTTCTGCAGGATTGAAAAACACCTGTTTTTCCAAGTTAAAAACAATGTGTGTGTGTGGGGGGGGTACCAATTCAAAACAGAACCTTACCAACTGTCCGTTCTTTATCAAAAAATATTCATAGAAAGCTTAAAATGTGATTAAAGTTATGACTAAAAATCTTATATATATGAAAAGAAGGTTTCCTGCTAACAAGCAAGTTTTTTTGTTTGTTTTTTGCTTTTGTTTTTTTTTTTTTTTGCAGTGAAACTAGGACTCTGGAGACAGGCAAAGAGCAGAACTGCCCAATAGCTCTTCTGTCTGCTTCCTTCTGATCACCACTTTCAGAGACAAGCCTCACTGGAGGATGGCCATAGGTCTGGACATTCAAAAGACTGCTAGGCAGGCATGAGGGCTGAAGCAAGATCTGAGTGGGCATAGGCATAAATGGCGAGTTGGTGGGGGTTCCTCCCTGCTCAAGGAAGCTTAACGCACCAAGGTTCTTCTTACCAGTTCCTTGACCATAGCAAGACTCAATGTAAACACCAATCACAAGTAAACAAAACCAAAAAAATCTAGATCCTATGTTTGCATTCTTTTAGAGGGACTTAAATTTCTACTTTTAATTTCTGGTAAATGATGTTTGTGTTGGAGAATGCAAATATGTTAGGTTTCCTTTTAAATAATTTAAAAAGCTAAGATTATATCTATGTACTAGTTTACAATTCCAAAAGAGCCAAGTGGCTGGAAGCCATAACCATGTATCTGGCACATTTAAGCATTGGAAGTCCCTAAAGGAAAAACACCATTTCTCTACTTATAAAATGATCCACAAACTTTAAAAATGGGTTGGAGGAATAAGTTTATTTTTTAATTAATTAATTTATTTTCAAATACATTTGTCTCTGCCTTCCCCCCACAACTTTCCCCTGCGCCCCTCCCCTCTCTCCCTCCCTCAATCCTTCCCCACTTTGGCTTTGTCCATGAGTCCTTGCTATATGTTCCTTGATCTGACCCTTCCCTTCCTTTTCCCCCGCCCCCGCTCCCTCCTTCCCTCTTGTCTCTGTTGCTTTCTTTTCCTTTCAGTGTTGCTGGTCTTCTTTTCCTTGCATCTTTGTATTGTTGGTTAGGTTTCACTTATTGGTAAGATCATATGGTATTTGTCTTTCATCCCCTGGCTTATTTCGCTTAGCATAATGCTCTCCAGTTCCATCCATACTTTCGCAGTTTAGTAGGTTTTTTTTTTCTTTCTGCTGCGTAGTACTCCACTGTGTAAATGTACCATAGTTTTTTGATCCAATCATCTACTGAGGGGCATTTAGGTTGCTTCCAACACTTGGCTATTGTCAATTGTGCTGCTATGAACATTGGGGTGCGTAGGTTCTTTTGAATTGGTGTTTTGAGATTCTTAGGGTATAGTTCCAGCAGGGGAATCACTGGGTCAAAAGGCAGTTCCATTTTTAGCTTTTTGAGGAAATTCCACACTGCTTTCCACAATGGCTGCACCAGTATGCATTCCCACCAACAGTGTACTAGTGTTCCCTTTTGGAGAAATAAATTTAAAGTGCTGTATCAACATAGGTGGTCAGCTAAGGGTTAGGAAGTAGTTTTCTGTTCTAAAATTATAGAGTAAATACTCTAGAATTGTATTATTTACTGAGGAGAGGTTGGAGCCTAGTGTTGACAAATTATTGGTGTCTGGAGTATCAACTGTTACCTCATGATGTCTTTGAACCCCAGTTTGCTGCTAAAGTGGACACTTGGCCAAAGGTAAGAGAACTATTGTGGACCTTGAATTTCATTTGTTCATAGAAAACAGATTTGAAATACCCATTCTATGTATTTGAGAGATCATTATTATACATCAAGTACACGTTGAACGAAGTAGGCTGGTCAATAAATTTAAGAGCCAATCGTGACACTGACCACATAAACCAGTATGTATATATAAGTAAAATAAGCCAGTCACCAAGGGATGAATGTTGTATGATTCCACTTATATAAGGAACATAAGGTAGTGAAATTCAGAAACAGAAAGTAGAATGATGGTTATTAAGGACTGTGGTGAGAAAAGAATGAGCAGTTATTGTTTAATGTGTATAGCTTCAGTTGAGAAGGACTGAAAATTCTGGAGGTGGATGGTGGTGATGGTTGTACAACCACCTAAATCTACTTAATATCACAGAATTGTACACTTAAAATGGTAAATTTTATGATGTATATTTTACCATAATAAATAATAGAATGTAAAATTTTATAGAACTGCAAGTGACAATATAGATCATCTTGCCAGATACTTTACAACCTTGGAATCATTTTCTTTCTGTCTAGAATGCCTTGTTTATTATACCCCACCTTCACATCCCAACCCCCATCAGAATCATACTCAAGACTTAGTTCAAATGCCACAGTTTTAGGGTCATTGAACTTTATGTAACCACAGATAAGTGAATAATATGAGGCAAGTTAGATATCTATCTGGGGCTAAGAAGAGAGGCTGGAACCAGAGAAATGAATTGAGAAGTTGTGAGAATAAACTGAATGAGACTGACCAGGGAAAACATGCAAAATAAGAGGAATACACATAAATAAATGTCTGTTGAATTGAATCTAACATGGGGCTTCTTAGAGGTTATATGAATTTTAAAGCTATTCTTATTTTGAGGAAAAAAAAAAAACATTGTAAGGAGAAATTTTTCCCTCTTCAACTTTCTTCATGTTTTATAAGAAAAACCCTCTGATTATTTTCAAATTAAAAGAATATTCCAGAAGCATTCATCAAAAGCTAGAAGTATGCACACACAAAAGGCTCAGGAAAAATGAGAAGGCCACAAAATTGTACAGACTCTATCCTGGAATAT